AAATCCTTTCACAGAAGGTTTTTCCCCTTTATCAGTGATGAATACTTTAACTTCTCTAGGTCAGCTTGCCCATTTGCAAGTCCCTACATGGGACTTGCCCTGGTAGAAGAAAAGCATTATTTAAGGAAAAGCCCATGAACTTAATTTTTATGCATCAAATTCAACTATTAGGACAAAAGTTAGGGTTTTTTTGTTTCTTTTGGTTTTTTTTGGTAAGATTGCAGGATCTGGGAGGGGATTTTAAGCAGTAAGTTAGATCCACCTCCAGAGGCAAGTGTTTGACTTCAAACTTGAAATCTTCTTGATCATGTTATAATTTTAAAAGCTTGTTTTACCATTTGCAAATATTATTAGCTGAAAACATCATTGATAACATTTTGAAAGCCTTTTTTCCCCCCTCCTGGAGAGATGTCCATGCTGCAGTACCAAAACAGGGCTAGGTGCTCGTCTAGAAAAAAAAAGGAATCATATTCCTGATTACGTGAGATATTTCTGTGAATAAAAATGCAGCTGGGGGAGTCCTGACCCTACCCTCACCGTTGTGTCTGGGTTTCCCCAGGGCTGTGAGTCCTGCCAGCTGTCAGTCGGTTGCTAACCATGTTCCTACAAAGATGGCCCTCCTGTTAAGTGAGCCAGATGTGTGACTAACATGTGCTTAATAGCACTGCGCTACAAGAGTGTTTCTCCACTGGCTTCATTCTTGGCTGATCCGTGCTGTGTTTTCAGGAGGGAGTTCCTCTCTGGAATGGGATGCTGCTGCAGCCTGCCACGAGCTGTGCTCTTGGACAGCTTCCCACCCTGCCTGTGCCAGCTACAGCAGGCAGAGGTACTACCTCAGCAGTGGAGGGAAAGTAAGGGCGCAATAAGGACATTGGTTTAGACCTCAGCGGGCTCTGTGATGACCAGCACTGCTTATTAATGGCAAATCTTTCCTTCTGCAACATTGGAGAGCTCTGCCTTCTATGGATGGCTGAGCAGGAGTTGTCCTGAGGGAGCTGTATGCACTTTGAGGACCTTTTGAATGTCCCGTTCAGCTTCTGGCTCTTCTCCTTTGTTTCCACCCCTCAGCATAGCATGTGGCACTTGCACTTGTTTCTTGCCCTGACCCCATTCGTTATGGAGCCATGGAGATGCTGACTAAAGAAATGGGCAGGCAGGGTAAGGAGGAGATGCTGCCTTCTGTCATAAGGACCAGAGTTTATACATACTTAAATTTCAAGTGGAAGGTGGCAAATCATCCATGTAATTCATTGGAAGAAGCCTAAATATTCTTCTAGGGTGCTTTCTATTAATCATGCAGTGGTTCTGCTCCTAACAAATGTCAGCAATGGTTGGGAACAGTCCCCCAGGCATTTAGCTATCAGATGAGAGAAGAAGATGCTCCCTGCCCTACCTCTTGTGTGGGTAGTCACATGCAACCTTCTATTTATGCGGGCAAGCACAGCTGTTCCTTTTCAGGGCCAAATACTTAACAAAAACCTGAGGTTACTTTCTCAAACACCATGAACTGAGCAGTGGTAGCTCTCAGAGCAGAGGTCACTGATGTTTCCTGATTTCCAATAGGTCTATGCTATGGTATACTCTCTTGTCTCAGGGGTCCATCTTTTTATCTGAGAGGAGCACCAAGAAAAAGCCTCCCGCCTCTGCTTGCAACCTGCTTTCACAAAGCAGAGGAGCATCTTGTACCACTAGTGGGGAAAAACTTGTTTGTTTAGGAAGCCAGGCCAAGAGACATTTGGAAATAGCTCAGTCAAGCCTGATCTGAAAGACATCTGAGGTCTTGGTGTCTCCCAGTTTGTCAACCTCATGGAAAGGTTCACTAGAAGGGAAGGCCAAAAGCAGACTTAGGATTTGGCTTCTTGGTCTGCTGCATCCGTGGTACAAGGTTTGGAGCCATGTCTTTATTCTTTGTCTCGTTTCCTGGATGAGGTAAGGCAGGGTGGGCTGAGTGCTGAGGTCATGCACATGTGGCCAAACAGTCAATTTCCAAGGAAAGCAGAGGGTGTGCCAGTGTCCTTAACCATCTGGCTGCAGAGCCTGCATGGCTCTTTGGAGACACTGCCGGGTCGTTTAGAGAGCCTTGCTTGGGGCTGAATTTTAGGTAAGAAGTTCCTCCCCCAAACATCACACCTTTGATCTAGACTATTGCAAGAAATGCTTTCCAATGTCCCTAAATTTTCCCTGCCAGGGGCCCTATATCCAGGAACGAGTGTGTTGTGATGAGAACTGGATTATCTGAGGTTAAACTATGGGAATAAAATCAGTAGGACAGCCCCGGATCTGATTAAACCCTGTCCACCAGTTATCTCTGCCTCCCAGCTGTCTTGCAGTACATACTTGTTCAGATGAAATCTCTCCAGGGTTTGCTCTCAGGCCATTGATGCTTATTCTGAGTGGTGCCTTCACTCTGTTCTGATCATGTTATGGTTCTGGCTTCCCAAGACATGTCCCAGCTGGGGGATGATTGGGCAGGAAGGTGATGTTTCCAGCCAAACAAGCTGCCATCCCAGACATCTGCTGCTTCCTTGTGTTTCTCTGTCTTGCTTTACCTGTGGTGTATCTGGTGACCAGAATTTGAGTTGGTGTGTGGCAGGCGGCTGCTCAGACTTAGGAAGAGTTTACCAGCAAGATTATTGACATAGCAGAAAAATCAGAGGGATTTGGTACCAGCTCGCAGCAGATCAGAGAGGTTTGACAGTGTTGCCAAATTGCAAAAATGCCCTCAGTGATGTGTTCCCAAGCTCCAAAAGATGCCAGCATGCAAAATAAAAGCTCTGAGATACACACACTGGGAAGATTTATGGCACAGCAACGTGTACTTATAACAATCTCGTTATGTCAGGCATGTAGGAATGGTTTAGTTCCTGCATCTTCCCACGGCATGGATGTTATCATAATTCATCTCCTGCAGGACGGATCCAGCAGATCAACATTCTGCAAAGGCAGCTGCGTAGCTGGAGTTCCTACTGATGCAGAGGCTGTGACAGAGAGATTCGAAGCATGCATGTTCATTTCTCCATGCAGAAATAATCAGTCTTCTCTGTTGTGGTTTGCAAACAAATTGCAAAATAGATGCCTTGTGGTTTTTGGGGTGCTGCACTTGAGGAGTGTGTGATCACGGGGCAGGCGTTAGGCTGCAGCAGGGGAGGTTTTGCTGCAGGGCTGAGTGGTGGCAGGCTGCTGGGAAGGTGAGTTTGGGCACGTGTGCTGTGCTGAGGGTCCTTGGCTAGGTGATGCATAATTTCAGAACAGTGCTAGCGCTCAACCGGTAGTAACCACAGCAGGAGCACACCTGTGCATCCTGGGAGAAAGAGTTATTTTTGTCAGCTGGATCTTCAGCATATGAGCATTTAGTCTCTGCCCAAGTCGGAACCCCTGGGGACGGGTGGAAATTAAACCTCTTGTGGTGCTGGCTCACCTTTGCAAGCTCAAAATGTTCAAACAGACTTTCAAGACCCCTCTGCAAGAAACCCCAAACAAAATGGAGTGAAACACAGAAACTAGATCTTTTATTTTCTGCGTCACCAGGAGGCATTGAGCTCACTCACTTTTCCAGGGTCAGATCTAGAGAGGTTTTGTTTCTTTGGTTTTGTTTCACTGCAGTACCCAGACTCTGTGTTTCAGATAGCATCTTGTCCATCCACTACACTCCAACTCCCAAATAATTGATTTTAACCTTTGAAACAACTGCAGAAGGGGGAAGTGATGTCAGGGACACGCTCTGGTTGATGTGGCAATGAAAATGGGAAGCGAGAGTCCCTGGAGTGAGAAGATGCATTGCTCAAGGGTGTTGAGAATAAAGTCCTGAAAATCATGCTGAAGTGTTAATGACACAGCAAGCAGAGGGGAATAAAAACAACAATCAGGCTGTTCTGCTAACGCATTTTAAAAGGAACTTTAACTTTATTTTTCTCCCATTCCTTTTTTCTGTTTTTCTTTTTCTTGTCAAAATTTTATGCTTGGACAAACGAAAGATGATCACTTCTCTGCTATGACCTCAGATGTGGAAATATTTATATAGCAAGATGTAAACCATGGGAAAGGCCAGACCTGCTCTTGAACTGATGATAAGAAACTGGGGATAAACCTGTGGTTGTGCAGAAACAGTCTGTGGAGAAAATATTTATATCCTTGTTCCTTCCTGAGGATTTTCCTTTGGATGCCTCAGTTGGAAATTCTCACTATTAATAAGATCTTGTAGATCTTATATGTGCAAAAAACCATTGTCTAAGTACTATTACTAGCACTGCAGGACACAAAGAGGCTGGTTTAGATTGCATCCCAGTGAAGAAGCTGAGGCTGCTCTGCCCACAACAGGTCAACATTAGGAAGCACCAAAATTCAGGCCTTTGACTCAGCACTGTGCTGACCCCTTGTTTGCACTTGGAAGCGCAGGCATATGTGTTAGGTATTGTTTCCTCTGCCTATCCCACCATGTTTCCCATCTCGGTCCTGGTTTCGCTGAGCTCAGCCCTGCTGCGTTGCCGTTTCGTGCCCCAGCTGCAATTAGCAGCCGTGTCATGTTGAACACACCAAGTACATCAGCAACTACGAAGTTGCTTTTGTTTTGCAAACCTAATTAAAATAATAGGCGAGTCTGCCTGTATTTTAAAATGCCGAAGAGGCAGGGAGTGTGCTGCCTGTACCTCTGCACAGACTCTTATCCCATGCCTGCCTGCGGGTGTATCAGTCACCTGGCAGTGCTCCTGCAACAAAGCAAATCACCTTCTGCTACTGCTGGCAGTGGCAGACGTGAAGGCACTGCTTCCAGAGCACTCTGAGCAGAGGGAAATACTGTCTTCAAACAACAAGTCTGTGCTGTTCAGACACAAATCCAACTTACAGCAAACTGACAATTTGCTGAGGTTTACTGTAATGTCTCATGCAGATTTTTAGTGGATTTGCGTTTCTTTCCCTTATGTTAGTCCCAGATGAAGTTTTCTTTGGTACAGAGAGCAACGAGGTAACAAAATTGGTTTGTTTTGCTTTGTTTTCATCAGGGATCAACCAACGTGGTTTACCAAGCCCATCATGTCAGCAGGAGTAAGAGAGGTCAGGTCGTCGGCACCAGGGGTGGATTTCGAGGCTGCACGGTTTGGCTAACAGGTATTTTTGTCTGGGCACAAAAGCACGGCTTCATGTGTGAAACCCGCTTGCATAAATGAGCATGGCTCGTAGGTGGGGATTTGAGATCTGCAGGAAACATCAGCGTTCCGTGTGAACTGGGAATTGCAAAACATTTACATGAGGGAAACACCGACACACAGTGCTAGCACAGCAAGATATTCTCTCTGCCAGCTTCTGCCTGTAACTGATGTTTTTATGAATTTCACAGCTGTTATCAGCCTCCTTTGAAGATGTCAGAAGCCCTTAGGGTCACACTTGTTGTTCCTAAGCGTGTGGCTTAGAAAGCCTTGGCTCAGATCCAATGCAACATGCCCAGGGTTGTCCAAGAGAGCATGCAGATGTTTTAATTCTGGGTCGGTGGGAAGTTTATTGGGGCACCTAGGTTTACTGTGTTTAAAGCGACCTCATGAGCAGCAGAGTAAGGCAGTTGTCTTGTCTGAAGAATAAATACTCCCATGAATTTATTCTCTGGACAGTGAGTTGCACTGGAAGCAATTACTTGCACAGCCGGTGCAGGTTTCTTATGTTATTTCTCATTTCATATGCCTTCAGGTGTGTTGGCCTTCTCTTCTGCTTTGAAAGATAAACTCATTGTTCAAGGATTAGGGCCTGCTAGAAATGGCAATTGCATTTCTTTTGCTCCCTAATATATACACAACCCTATCTTCTGAAAGATGTATTTGGAAGGCTTTGTAAAGCCATTCTGGTTTGCCTTTGTATCAGCTTATGTGCTAGATGTTGGATTAGAACATATTTCTGTTTTGTTCTCCTTTTCAATTTTGAAAAGAAGGTCAACACTTAATCTGCTTTAACATAATTTCTGAGGCCAAAAAACCTACCCAGGGTAATTTCCTTCTTTTTTGATTATCACTCAGAAATCTTGTGTCTGAAAGGTAGGTTTGTGTTTCTCTGGCTGATGATTATTCTTTGAAATATCTCCTAACTTTCTATCAATTTAATTTTAAGAGACTATATAGAAAGACATTTTACTACATGGACTACGTGGATTAAATGGAAGGGCACTTAAATGCCCTATGTTGCCAGCTCAGGACAGCTATCGGTTACTCTGTTGTACTACAAAAAAACAAAGGCACACCCAGCAGGGTTCATCTCTTCCCAGCCAGGTTTCCTCTCCAGCACAAACACGGCTGTTCTGCATCAGACCAAAAGTCCACCTCACCCAGGGTCTTGTTTCCATGAGCAGCCACTAGTAGGTGTCACACAAAGGGTATAGAAACAGGTGGGCAGATGATGCTGTCTCCATAGGAGATTCTCCTGCAACTATTTCCTGAGACAAATGTGGTGTTTGGAGTTGTTATCTCTCCTAAATCAAGGTCCTCTTCCATCTCAAGAATCTTTTTCAACACCCAAGGGAAAGGAGGAGGTTCACGCTCCAGGTGCACTTGCTCCTTTCTGCTACAGCCAGTAGCAAGTGTTTTTTCTTCAAGTGAATGGAGCTGGGATGGGAAGAAGCCACCTCCTTTTGCACTGTTGTCTTTCTGGTTAATGAATCCAGGAGATGCAGACAGCTGAAGATGCACTGCTTGTCTACCCAGCCATCCTGCTCTGTGCTCACACAGATCTGTGGGTGCTGCTTTGTGGTGTCTGTGGATACAGACCAGCAGTTGCTGCTGGAACCTGTCCCACTATTTGCACGAAGAACCTCTCCTTGGGTTCAATCTGGGAGAACACTTGGCTGTTCATAGGGAAAACAGGAGGAGAAAGATGCTGAGAGACTTACAAGCAACAGCATCTATTCAAGCTTCCCCTTTTTACTGATACTTATTTGTCCCACCATGGCAAGAGGTGTTTTTGTAAGACTACTGGAGTGAAGCCCTCCAGATTTTGGGGTATAGCAGCTTTTCTCATGACATTAATGCCACCCCTTCAATAAGAAAGGTTGACCAGAACTCTGTGGTGGTAACTATGTGCTAAAAAGGTGAATCCAACTTCCCCACATCATTCCTTCCTAAAACAATGTAAGACAGAAGGATTTTTGTTGCCGGTGTCCTAGGAGGTATTGCAATACACTGTCATTTTTGTTCTTTTGACCTCAAACCTGACCCTCGCTTTTCTGTCTTCAACAGGCCTTTCTGGAGCTGGCAAGACAACCATTGGCTTTGCTCTGGAAGAGTACTTGGTCTCTCATGGCATCCCTTGCTATTCCCTGGATGGTGATAATGTTCGGCATGGCTTGAATAAAAACCTGGGTTTCTCAGCTGGGGACCGCGAGGAGAACATCCGCCGCATTGCAGAGGTGGCCAGGCTGTTTGCTGATGCTGGGCTTGTCTGCATAACTAGTTTCATTTCTCCATTTGCAAAGGTAATCTCACTGCATCATATTCTGCTCTTTGCTGGGCAACCTAGATCTCATGAATGTTCTTAGGGAAGAGAGAGTTACGTAGAGGACTTCTTACGTATGCTGTCAGGTGTTCCTTTTAACTAAAATGCACCAATACACAGAACGACATGCCATCAGTACAAATTTCTGGAGGTCAGTTTGACATGACCTTTTTGAATATATTCAGTGTTACAAATCAGTTAAAAGCTGATTAAAAATCAATTAAAAGCTGAGAGAGGTTTAAAATCTCCCTACAGAAGCTCCTTCTGTTAACTCATTAGGAGGCAGAAAAGAGGCATAGAAGCAGTAGTCTGTCATAGAGCTATCGCTGCTTTGTTTGAAGAACTACTGATTGCGTTTTTATGCTTCCTGAGAATATCAAGTAGCTGCTGTTATCAGGCTGATGCAAGCAGTTCCTTTTTGTTTTTTTGACACAGGACAGATAACTATTCACATTCTGAAGTTCTGCTGATCTCCTTCATGAAGGGATCTTCTTGATCTTTCAGATGGAAAACACTGAAAACAGATGAAAGTTGTAGAACTCTTTTTTTAAAGTATCTTTGAAGAAAAGGGGGGAAGGGAGATGAAAAATCCTCATTAGAATTAATTTATTAAATCTGTATCAGAGATGTATCTATATGTGTTGAATCCCGGGGCACGTCATATGGTAGGAAGATGCTTGCTGCAATTCAGGCACATGCGATTTTCCCATCTTTCTTCTAACAGGATCGTACAAACGCACGGAAAATTCATGAAGCAGCTGGACTTCCTTTCTTTGAAATCTTTGTAGATGCTCCCCTAAGTATTTGTGAAAGCAGAGATGTGAAGGGCCTGTACAAAAAGGCAAGAGCTGGAGAGATCAAAGGTATGGAAGAGTGGGCCCTTATTTTGCCTTTTGCTTTCCAAAGCGTCGAATATCTTGTCATTGCAGCTCTGCACATAGAGGTGGGTTACTAAAGGCCCTTTGTAGTGGGCAAGGGTATCCTGTTTCCCCTAATCTTTCTGTCACAAGTGTCACTTGCAGTACCCAGCACGGTTGCATGCTCATGGTTGTTTGTACAGCGTTGTTGGCTCTAGGGCACAGAGTATTACATTAAACAAATTTAGTTTGGGTTTAATTGTCCGTAGGATTCACGGGAATTGACTCAGAGTACGAGAAGCCTGAGTCTCCTGAACTAGTGCTGAAGACGAACGTTGCGTCAGTGTCTGAATGCATTCAGCAGGTTGTGGAGCTCCTCCAAATACAAGTAGGTCATTTTTATGCCAGCGCCGCTAGCAGCTTTGTAAAGCTGCTTTCGGGTACAGACTTTTTGGTGCGCGCTTGAAAGCCAGTGTGTTGCTTACAATTGCTGTCTGTCTCTCTCTTTCAGAACATCGTGCCCCACAGCTCAGTTAAGGACATTCTTGAGCTATTTGTGCCTGAAAATAAACTCAGTACTGTACAAGCTGAAGCGGAGATGCTACCATCTGTAGAGATCACTAAGGTATCATCATGCATGGATAATGTGCTGTGATTCAGTCATTATTTAGCTGTTTGTAGGGTAGAAGCTTTGATGGGGATGTTGCTAAAGGGGCTCTGTTCCTCTGATAGCTGTGTCCTTTTGTGGCTGAGGTTTATGGTGAGCTGAAGTGTGCTCCTAATCCTCAGCCATTTTCTGCTGTGTCTCCACCCTGTGCTGTAGCAAGCCAGGGGTGTTAGACCCCTTGGTTGTGTTACTACAGACCTGCAGGCAGTTGTGCTATGGAAGAGTGTGAGTCTGGCTTGAAAAACAACCCCAGTCTAAACCCCTCACAGCTTTCTCCCCCTTTATGAATGTCCTCTATTTGAGGCAAAACAAATGAGAGCACTGAAGAAACAGAAGGAGAAGAGAAGGACAAGCAACCTCTCAGTGTGCCCTGGTGACAGGAGTGCCATTTGGGTTTGTTTTGCAGCTGGATCTGCAGTGGGTGCAGGTGCTGAGCGAAGGCTGGGCCACTCCGCTGACCGGCTTCATGCGTGAGGCAGAGTACTTGCAAGTGATCCATTTTGGCACCCTGCTGAATGGTACGAACCCCCACGCTTTGCATTAACGCTGGCCGGCAAGCAGCTGCGCGACGGGATGCTTACCCAGTGGTGTCTCAGCAGGCAGCCACACAGAAAAGCTGAATGCTCAGCAATGCTTTTCTCCTTCTTTACTCTCACACGTTAAATGTGAAGGACTGTAAAGGACTGTGGGGGCCAGTAAGCTGTGCTCCAAAACACACCAAAGGTTACAGAATGCGACAGCTTTCACTGCGCTAGGCCTGGTGCTCAGGCACACAGCTTTGACATCTTGCATGGTGCCAGTCAAACATTTCGGGAGCTATTGTGTAGCTCTTTTCATGCTTGGTTGTACTAGGGTAAATAAAGATGCAAAGCCAAAGCCAAGTAAGCAGGGAGGCTGCCAGGCTGAATTTGAGGTGGGAGGACGAGGCGGCTGTTCCTTGGAAACAGGAGCAGAGCCTGATTTCACTTTTCCCCCCTATTTTCATGATTATCAATTACTGTGACTTAGAAGAAATCAGATTTATCTATTCATTGGCAACATGTTTGAGGTGCTTCACGCCTGGAAATGACAAAAAGTACTCAGGCAGTGATCGTCTACAGCTGAGACCAGGGTGGCAGATATTTCTGTCCTGTTTCTCAGCTGTGGATGCTGTTGCTGTGACTTCACATGCACAGCACTCACTTTGGGTTTAGTAGGCCTGATAATGGTCTCTGGTCTTGGGTATTTGGGATCTTGGCAAGTGACTCCCTTTGAGTCTTGCCCTCCTTCTAGAGGATCTCATAGTCATGCAGTAACTTGCTGCTATTAGGATTTGGGCACCATGCAGCAGATGCAAAGCTCAGGACTGCTTGCTTTGGCTCAGAGGAGTGTCTGTATGCAGGCTTCTGCCTTCAGATGTGTCATAGCCTTTTACCTTCCACCTAGTGTGCAAACAGTGTTCAGAAGCACATGTCCTTGTTATCAGACCCTAGTCTGTGGTCTTTGAGCTACCTGTTGTGCCTGACAAGGTACAGAGGCACCCTGTAATGACTGTGCTGCTCCAGAGCTCTGTACTTTGCACTGGAGGCTTGTCTCAGCACTGTTTTTGGGGTGCCCACCCCAAACCTGTCAGCTTCACTGAATGCAGGTCCTCTGGGGTCTGTGGGCATACATTCAGGATTTGCAGGGCTCTGTGGGGTCAGAGACAAAGCCCAGAACACTGGCTTTTGCTGGGGAGATGAACACTCCAGAGCAAGGTCTCTGTAGTAGCATCAGACCCCAGTCCACCTTGTCTCCTCAGAGGTCTCTAAATTCAACATCTGCATGGTCAGACCCACAGGGTGACACCTGGGCAGGAGAGAGAACATTCCTGGTTTGCTTGGATGAGCTTTAGGGAACAGTGGAGAATTTCCATCTCATGGTGTTCAGGCTTGGGTGCGGCAGCATTGCCAAAGAGAGATTTGAGGCTGGTCTTTCAAGAGTCATTGTTCCAGCCCTCTTGCCCTGGGGTGCGGGTGATGGTTTTGGCAGCTCTAGCTGTGCCTGAAAGGGCTGCGATAGTTTTGGTGGACTTGTGCAAGTTAGTGCTCCTTTTGCTCAGACTTTGAGCAGTAAATTCCACCTCGAGTTGGGCGGATTGAGGTGCTTTGTGTAGGGGCATGATGGCCACCAGGAAGAAAGGTGGATCTGTGCATTGTATGGCAACAGAAGTGCCCTAGAGTCTCCAGCACTGCTCTCCACACCAGTGATGGGTGCCTCTGCTGGGACTGGGTGACAGCAAAAAAGCACAGGTGTTGTACATCGCTCCCAGCCAGTATAACCCGTGTTGGATGGGTGAGTGCTGGAGAGGCTGGGGCAGCACCATGGAGGACGGCAGCCATGCCAGCAGGCACCCTGCCTGTGGTTAGGTGCTGCTTGCCAGAGGTGCTTTGGTTCTTGCATTGATTGCTGCAACTGGTGCATGTGGGTGTTAATTGTGTTAATTGTGTTTGTATTCTCCCAGGAAGGAATCGCTCTGTAGCTGGTATGTATATAACTATTCTTAGGTTGTACAGAAATGACTTCAATTTACATTTCTTTGCTATAAACTAATTTTCTGAGATTTTAAAAAAGAGGGAACAATTATTAAGACTCCCATAAACTGCCACAGCCTGTTTGTGATTCAGCTGGTTACGAAGTGTCACGGCACATCCCATGGCCTTTCAATTGATTTTATAATTACCTTTGCTGCAGTGATTTATTTGTTTTTAAACTCTGCATCTTGCATTTGGAAATGGAGCATGGAGAGTTTTGGCTACAGCATCATCTGTTGGTTTCATAATTCAGCTTTTTCCATGCTGGCTTTATTGACTAATCACTGAGTAACATAATTTAAACGTATGAAGTTGACATTGATTGGATCCCATGCGACTATAGTGACGATTATTCATGAAGGTGCTTGAAAATTGCTGCCTGGCAGACAAATGACACCTAAGTGTGAATTAAAAGCAAACACAAACATTTTAATAAAGATTTTTAAAAAATCTACATCATAGATAAAATCCTCAAATTAAGATTCTCAAGGGTCCAAAGCGATTTCAGTCAGATCAGAACAAATTGAATCAATGATTTGTTTGTTCTTGTTTGTAAATGGAAATCCATGGGAGAGACTGATTCTCCTTTATTAATGCTCATATATCAAAGAAGAAATGGGAGTACCTTAGTGGAGGACTGGGAAATTGGGAGAGTGGGGATAAAACCAACATGACTCCAGTTTGTCAGGGACAGCAGTGAAATTGGAAACTACACGTGCAAATGTAGACTCACTATATACACACAGAAAATAGATTAAAAATGGACTCTGCAGAGATACAAAGGAGGAGGAATAATAGTATAGAGATATCCAGGAAAATAATACAACAGAGAAACAAAGCGAAGTGTGACAGTGTTTTTCCAGTTGGAAGAGGCAGTTCAAGAGGAGGTGGGCAAGGAATGAGGTGCCCTAGGGAACACCAAGTTGGAGCCATCTTAATAGAGATTGTTCTCCTGGTGGAGGAGGTAATATCCAGGGTTGCATTTTCCCAGTACAGTTAAATTTTGTGAAGAGACTTTGCAACAGACTAGCTGAAGAAGAACCAGCCTTTCCACGGAGATAGAGAGTGCAGAAAATAAGTAAATGCTTCAGGTATCTTTGAGCCATCTCTGGCCCAAAGGTAAGGAGTTTTCATATTCCACTAACATCATTATTTGTTAGCAGTGCAGGAGAAAGTGGGGCAATGAATGAATTTGCAAGACTGATGGTGAATCTCTGAATTGGTCCTGGAAAACTTTGCTCTCCAAAGGGAGAATGTGTGCCTCTGAAAGCCTCTGTTTATTCAGTGCCCAAGGCTGGAGTACATTAAAATCCTCCATCTCTCTTGCCAGATGGCGTTGTCAACCTGAGCATCCCCATCGTGCTGCCAGTCTCTGTGGAGGACAAGGAGCGGCTGGAGGGCTGCGAGGCGCTGGCACTAAGCTACCTGGGGCGGAGGGTGGCGGTCCTGAAGAACCCCGAGTACTTTGAGCACAGGAAGGAGGAGCGCTGTGCCCGCGTCTGGGGCACCACCTGTGCAAAGCACCCGCACGTCAAAGTAGGTTTGTCCCTGCACTGCTCTGGGAAACCTGGCCGTTTCTAAGGTTCTGAGGGCCGTGTGTGCCCTATCTGCTTTCCAAGACCAGCTCCTCAGTGGGAACCATCGTGTCCCAAGCAGACAGGATTGAATTTTTAGGCTTGTGAGTTAATGTTGTGCTTGCTGTTTAAGAAGAGCATCTGATAACAAGCACAAAGTGAGAGGAAGAATGAGCATGTGCTGAGGAGCTGCTCCTTTCATCCACTCATCTTCACCAGCGTGCCTACATTCAAACATTTTTAGTGTGACTGCCAACTTAGGCTCCAACGTTTTCCTGCATTTGCGGTGTGACAATCACAGTGATGCTGCCAAACACTAATCATAGAATCACAGAATGGTTTGGTTTGGAAGGGACCTTAGAGCTCATCCAGTTCCACCCCCCATGCCACAGGCAGAGACACCTTCCGCTAGACAAGGTTGTGCAAAGCCCCATCCAACCTGCCAGGGATGGGGCAGCCACAGCTTCTCTGGGCAACCTGTGCCAGTGTGCCTCACCACCCTCACAGGGAAGAACTTCTTCCTAATGTCTAATGTAAATTTCCCCTCCGTCAGTTTAAAGCCATTCCCCCTTGTCCTATCACTACATGTCCTTGTAAGAAGCCCCTCTCCAGCTTTCTTGTACTCCCCACTTCAGACCCTGGAAGCTGCTCTGAAGGTTTCCCCAGAGCCTTCTCTTCTCCAGGCTGAACAAGCCCAGCTCTCTCAGCCTGCCTCCATAGCAGAGGTGCTCCAGCCCTCAGAGCATCTTCATGGCCTCCTCTGCACTCACTCCAACAATTTCATGTTCTTCCTGTGTTGGGGGACCCAGAGCTGGACACAGCACTGCAGGGGGGGTCTCACCAGAGTGGACAGAGGGGTAGAATCCCCTCCCTTAACATGCTGGTAATGCTTCTTTTGTTGCAGCCCAAGATAATGTTGGGTTTCTTGGCTGTGAGCTCACACAGTACTAATGCTGCAGACTGCTGACTCATGCTTCTTTTAGCTACGTTTTGCTCCTCAGTTTGGCTGCTTCGTGCAGGCAGCCAACAAGGGTGTTACATTTTTACAGCTTATCTCTTCCCACTTACTCTCTGGCAGTACAAAGAGCATCATCCTTCAGAAAGGAAGAGCTCCAGGTTACGCCAAGTGACTTGAGCTGTCTGCTTAAAAAGACTAAAGCTGAGTTAATTCTGTTTTCCTACCTTAAAATACATCTTTTAATTATTTAACAGCAGTTGCTCACCTTGCATATTCCCAGAAGGAAAAAGCAAAGAGTGAGGTGGAGGAGGGTCTTGTGCCATAACCTGTAGACCTCAGTCTGCCAGAGAGGGGTCCAGCATCCAGTATAGTGGTAAGGGTTCAGTGGCTGATGCTTCATTTGCAGGGTTACACGGATCATGACATTCACTTTAAGTGATAACTGTAAGAACGTTTCCCACCTATGATGTGCTGAAAGGAAACATCACCCTGCAAGCAGAGTCAAGCCTAACAGTTTTCAAAGGAGAATGGGAATAGGGAAAGGAGGTATTTTGCTGTCCCCTCCATGATGTGTGTGTGTGTAATTCACAGATGGTGATGGAAAGTGGAGACTGGCTGGTTGGTGGAGACCTGCTTGTGCTGGAGAAGATCAAATGGAATGATGGGCTGGACCAGTACCGCCTGACACCGCTCGCTCTCAAGCAGAAGTTCATGGAAATGAATGCTGGTGAGTGCCCTGGGTTTCCACTGGTGACATGGCCCTTCTTTGCCCTACCTGGCACTGGGAGATCTGTGTGAGCTGGCATTACTTGCTCTCAAGCTCATGGTACTTACAAATTGCTTCTGTATCTCCCAAAATGGAACTATGCAGGTGGGGTGAGCAGTAAGAGGGACACAGGATATGGCACAAAAAGTGGCGTGGGGTCTTCTTGGTTAAGGGCAGTGTTTGCCATGGGTTGTGTCCTCAGTGGACCTTTCCGAGCATGGCACTGGAAAGCATTGAGCATTGTGTCTTCCCTGGCAAGTCAGAGCCTCTCTTTCTGTACCCTGGGCATTTAAAGCCCTGTGCTGATGTGCCTGGCATTCACACTCGGGGGACAACTTAGATGTCTTCTACCGGGTATCTACCCAGCAGGCTGAAAGGGATGAGACACCTACCCTCCCTCTGGGGGAAGAGTGTCAGCCTTCCTGAAGGTGCCATTAAGCTTGGAGAGGTGGCCAGTCACTTGAGAAGTCGTGGACCTCAGTGGAGGTGTCAGTGGCATGTAAGAACATTTGTAGGAGAGCTGATAGGACTGAAATCTGCCCCAAAGTAAGGCTATGCAATGAAAATAAACTTCACAGAATGATGAAGAGGCACTGTAGATGCATGAAATGATCATCTAAGTTATTTAGGGCTTCACACATGTGAAGATAGGACATACAGCTTGTGATGTACGTATCTTATGACTGTTGAGATGTGTCGTGTGTAAATGAAGCTGCAGGGTCTGATGATCAGCACAAGCCTGTGACCATCTGAATCTTTCCCTTTTAGATGCTGTCTTTGCATTTCAGCTGCGCAACCCTGTTCACAATGGGCATGCCCTGCTCATGCAGGACACACGGCGCCAGCTTCTGGAGAGGGGATACAAAAACCCCGTGCTTCTCCTGCACCCGCTGGGGGGATGGACCAAAGACGACGATGTCCCACTGGAGTGGCGGATGAAGCAGCACGCAGCGGTGCTGGAGGAGCAAGTCCTGGACCCCAAGTCAACCGTCGTTGCCATCTTCCCTTCTCCCATGCTCTACGCGGGCCCCACAGAGGTAATGTAGCCATCAGCTGCTCACTGAGACAAGGTGTAAGGCCTGTCCATGGGCGTGCCTGCTGCCAGCCTGCCTGTGCAGCCCCAGAAGGTCACAGGGAAGGGAGTTGGTATTAGCCCGTTCACTTGCAGCTTACTGCAGCAGCTGTCTACCAGCAGAGCTCAACTCCGTGTGCTCCCATGTTTTCACAAGCTGTGTGGGGACCTGGGGAGAAGGGGACTAGAAACAGACTTTGCTGCTGTAACCTTCTTCTCTGTCAGGCAGGGACATTCATTTATGTTCTCCCAGTGGTTTCCCTTCTGCCCCTAAATCAGTGGGATAAAAGTGCTGAACCTTCCCTGAAGGAGGAAGGAGACGGATGTGTGGATGTGTGGGGCCCAAGGGATGGTGAGCACTGTCCTTGCACATTCAAAAAGCAAACCACTGCCTCTATTAGCTGTAACAAGACCAGTTCCCATCCCCAGTGTTTCTCTTGGAGTATATGTCCATAGGAGAGCTGTGATGTTGCATCAGGTCTAAGCCGTGGAAGGTGTGTCTGGGTGGCCTGATCGCTATGAGAAACTGCAGCAAGGCTGCTGAACATCTCCTGCCTGCCTGCATGGCGATTACTAGGATCTCTTTTGCGGCCCAGGATGGGCATCTCAGTTGCTGCTCAGCCCTCAGCCAATGCTGCTGGTGTCTCTCCTTTGCAGGTGCAGTGGCACTGCCGAGCTCGCATGATTGCTGGGGCAAATTTCTACATTGTGGGGCGCGATCCTGCAGGCATGCCTCACCCCGAGACCAAGAAGGACCTCTATGAGCCCACACAAGGAGGGAAGGTCCTCAGCATGGCGCCAGGCCTGACCTCAGTGGAGATCATCCCCTTCCGGGTGGCTGCTTACAATAAAGTGAAAAGGGCCATGGATTTTTATGACCCACAAAGGTAAAGCAGGCAGCAGTGTCACTGCTGCTTCAGCCTACACAACTCGGGTGCTTTGGGATCATGTCTGGCTGCAAGGGGAAAGGCAAAAGCAGATCATAAACCCAGGCATGAAGCCGCAGACGGGGCTCCACCAGTGCTGGGAGGTTTCTAACCATGCACCTACATGGCAGAAGAACTGTATGGAGAGCAGTCCAAGCTGGCTGTGCTGATTTCTCTCCTGTCTTTGCTCTGTGCAGGCACAACGATTTTGACTTCATCTCGGGGACACGCATGAGGAAGCTTGCTCGTGAAGGTGAAAACCCACCAGACGGCTTCATGGCCCCCAAAGCTTGGAAAGTCCTAACCGAGTACTACCAGTCACTGGGAAAACAGAATTAACACTACTCCTCCTCCCTAGAAATGCTTGTATTAAGAGTGAGCAATGATTGATTGATTCCCTATGACACAGATCAGTTACTTGGCATTTCCAGTGCTCTGCCTGTAGGATTTTTCTACCTAGGTCAGAGTGTTTTTTACTAATCAGAAATAATTTGAGCGTGGTCCTTCTCCCCTGGAAGCTGCCAGGAGCATCCCCATGGAACTGGAAGGGCAGCGAGCCCTGCATTCCCAGCTAAGCGCAGCTGCAGGAAGCCCAGCACAGCCCCTGGGTGGGCAAGCTGGACTGTTCCAGTGCCACCAGAGCCAGGCACCAGCCCCCAGTGCAGAGCTGGGACCTCAGCACCAGGATAAAAACCACGCTTGTCCCCTGTGAAGCAGAAATGAAGAGGTGCCTTTTCTCTACCGCTCAGCCAGCCCTGCCTGAAGAGGAAGGAGCCACTGAAGTGAGGAGCAGCTGCTGCTGCCAGGTTGGAAGAGGGAAACAGGCACACAGGGCTTGGATCCATTCGCAATCCTCCAGGTTGTCCCATAGATCATTTTTGCCAACAAACAGTGGGGTTTTTTTTAACACCCTTTTTTAAAAAGGATTTTTTAAAATCAGCCTTGACCATCACTTGTTCCTTGTGGCTGAAACAGATGCTCACTGTCCTTCCTTGCTTCCTCCTGCTTGACCTCTCTGGTCAAAACAAAACCTGGGCTGAGCATTACTGATGCTCTGAGTTCAGCTTTCCACGGCAATCCTTGTGCTGACAGCCTAGGGGGCCCATGGATGGGGGAAGCTGTTCCTGGGAGGCACCCTAAAGCTCGGGAGATCTTTGAGAAAGTTCAGGGCAGCAGTCAGAAACTGGGGATGGTTTTTACCTGTTTTCATGGGTATCCTCACACCTAGCAGGATTGCATCCGCCCTTTCCTTTGCCTGCGCTTCTCCCATCTGAAAGGCAAATTAAAGGCAAACCAGCAAAATCAGTGTGAGGTGGCTCCAAGAGGCTGTACCTGTTAAACCAGGTGAGAGATGGCTCAAGCACTTGCCTTCATCTGTACCTGTAATCCCACATGGGTACAGGTGGCCTGATTTTACTTAGTACCTGTGTGCTGCGGATGCTGGCTCCTGTGGGGGATGGCAGAGGATGGAGTCCTTGCCATCCACCCCCACCTGCATGGGGTGCTGCTGTGTGAGGGGTGGTGGTGCTGAGCCATCATCCCTCACATAGAGAGGTAGCCAGTGGCTGGTGCTGCACCCAGCTGTGGCTGGTGGGAAGTTACAGCAGCCCTAACCTTTCCCAACCCACCCTCTCTGACACTGATTTTGCTGCTGTGTTGGCTTTTTTACTGACCCACAGCACTTGCAGTGAACTCTGACAGGGCAGAGCAGCGTGACTCAGCACCGGAGCTTTACCTGGCCCCACTCGTGTCTCACTGCAGGCACATGCTGCTGGGACTGGTGCATGTCTCTCTGGTGGCTGAGGTTTGGGTACAATGCCCCACATGGCTGGGAGCCCCTCAGTCACCTCCTGCCCCTGCCTGTGCCTCAATGTCCTGCCTGTGCTGGCTTCCCCAGGGAAAGGGCTGATCCTGCAGCCCTGCTGTGCTGGGAGCAAGGAGCGTGCTGCCTTCCCGGACACCACACTGAGGTGTGAGGTTTTTATTGAGGGGAAGACAGCCATGCACTTGTTAGTTACTGCAGCAAACCGAATTGGTACTTTCTGTACTCATCTTTTCTTAGTAGATGCCCCAGGACCAGTCAGATGTGTTTCAAGTGACATGGAAATAGCACTCTCCTCTTCTTGTACTTCAGTTTTAATTACAAATGGAGCTACACTCAGTAAGAGCAATGACGCTTCTGCTTGTAACTTAGAATAGTGAGCTACATCGCAAGCTGAAACCTGTTTTGCTGTGGCCATAGTACAGTGTCCAAGACTATGTATGTAATTGGGAATACTTTTGCAAAAAGCCTTTTATCATTTGTCAGCTCTTTGGGAGTTATTTTTTTACAAGTTTTTAAAGTAAAGCAAAGGCCCAAACCTGTATTATACCTCAAGAAAAATGCTGCAATGCTCATGTTGGTAGCTCAAACCACACACTAGCACCAGTGCCTTTTACACTCAGGCCCTCTGGCAGGGACCTGGAAGACAAAAGCAATACTCCCATTTATGTTTGCAATACTTGTCATTTTAAAGTAGTGACATAGTGCTGTTGCCACTCATCATATAATAATCAAATGGTTAAACCTCCCTCCCATAAATAAATCCAAATGGTTACAGCAAAACACAAATCTTGTATTATCCTTTTAAAACAGTGTAGTGTACTGATTACCTCTGATCCAAATAGAGTATCTGGACTAGTTTTTTATAGTGTATTTATTAAAGGCATGAGACTGGAATTTGCATCAACTGATGCATCTCATGATTTAATATATTCTGAACTTGATACTCTGCTACAAAACACTCACTTTTAGTACAAATAAATATTTATATACTAACTCTCACCTTGTGGGGTTTTTTTTCCAGTGGAAATCATAACCATGCAGTTTATCTGGGGCTGTGACCAGTTTGTAGTGGCAGGAACCCCCCTGCCACATTCCAGCCTTGCATGTTGAGTGCCTCAGGTAGGGTAATGGCTGGACCAGCCAGCAGAGAAGCTGACTGGAGTCCATTCCCTTTTGGAAACCTCATGTAATTTACTGTTTCCCTGTCTGCGCCCTGTAGTGTTGAAGTCACATTTAGCAAGAGTAAAAATTGGCGTATCTTCTGCTGCCCTGCATTTCTGTGGTGGTTAACCAGCAATTAAACATCTTCTAGCTGCCAAAACCCTGAAGAGGATGATACTGCATCTCTTGGGCTTTTCCTAATAGACCTACTGTAAATGGGCTGTGGGCCTGGAAGGTGCTGTTGCCCCTGCTTCCCAGCTAGCAGAGAAACAAGCAAGAGATCTTGCAAGCACTGCCAGCTTCTGTTTGATGGGGACGGAGGTCCTTTGCCGCTGCCCTGTGCCTGCCCCTATGCAGGGTTGGATGGTGGCTGCAGGAGCTTGGGCTGTGCTCTCGGCTCACCCTGCTGGGCTCTCAGTACTCCACTCAACCAGAGTGGTCCCTGCAGCACCCCAGGGTTCACCCTCTGTTGTCTGGCCAATGCATCCCTGGGTTTCCAAGCAGCAGACAGGGAAAAGATGCCCTTGCCCAAGCCAGTCTTAAAAAAAAATAAAAATAAAAAATAATGCTGTACTTACAGAATGCAAACATGGACACACTGGTGAAGGTTACAGGAAACAGATCAACAGAAACAGAGCAAACAACATATTTATTCACCTAAGACTACTCCACAGGTTTGTGTTTGTGCTGTAGTATTGAACAGGCAAGATTAGCTGCTTTACAGCCCAAGGACAATTTAGGTACAGTCTACTGGTGACTGCTATGGATGAACAGGTCATAAACTAATTACTTGCCTGCTGAGAATGTCTATGCCTCTTCCTGCAGAGGATTCAACCTTTAAACCCCAAGATAGACCTATTTCACACAAGACATTGCATTACAACTCAGATCTCAGTACTGGCAGCTGGACTGGCCTCAGCCCACACCTGTGAAACAACACTCGGTTTGACAACTGGCCCTAGAGCCACAGGAGAGGGGTTAGGCATGTCCCTGCTCTAAGAAGAGGAACATGGACCCCACCACTGGAGACACAGAATTAGAGCGGCCATGTTCCTGCATGATAAACTATGCCACTCCCCCAGTCTTTCCAGCAAGCTGCAAGAATCATAGAATAGTTAGGAAGGGTCTGTTCTTTGCCAAGGACTCCCAAAATGACAGAAAAAGTAGGCAAGTATGGAAAAATCCTTGGAGAACTGGAACTCACGCTGCAGATGCAGTAACTCCTTGAGCCTCTTCAAACCAGCCCCTTCAGCCTGTGACAATGGATTACAGGCACAAAGCAAAGGCAAGATCCAGCCAGCATGTGAACAGCCAGGTTTTTGGAGAAACATGCAAAAGGAGACAAAAGCCCAGCTGGTGAGAGAGGATGCCCTCAGCACCTGCAAACAGTCAAAGGTTTGTGCACTGTTTGACATTTAAACTCTCCTGAGGACACACTTTACACTCAAGTAAAACCAAGTAAGATAGCATTTTCTAGCTGCCTGCACTAGATGCTTACCAAGTAGGAGCACCCCAAACAAAGGAAGGAGGCATAGGACCAACTGCATTATTGCACCAGCCTGGAATTTCTCAGGTGTAACAACTACTGAGAGGGCTGGGGGTAGTCCAGAGCCAGAGCAGGCACTGAGAACAGACTGAGTAGCTAGAGAACTTCATCTGACACATGCATAATTAAACCTTCTGAGAAACCAGCTTCCAGTAACGCTATTTGCACATTTAATTTTAAGGCTGGTTCTTGAACTCAGTCTCTCACAGAACTAGCACTGGCTCCCTGTCACATCTCTTAGATTTCCATAGCCCAGTATTTCTGTATGCCCAGTTTCCTATGTCCTTGTATTAAAGCAATATGCGTTTACCAAAGACTTCTCTCCCCATATAAAAAAAACAAAGCAATTACCAAATTATTTTTAAGCCCACCATGTTCTGTACCCAACGAGACTAAACTGGGTCACACTAAGACCTACAGCACCTACATGTGCCTTAACACAACCAGTGTGCCAGACAAAAGGACACAGTGAGAAAGCTGTGCTTAATGTAAATTGTCATCAGCACCTGATACTGCACCATGGCTGGCTCCAGCTGTTTTTATTTTACTTTGCAGTGCATTTTTCGTTACATCCTTATGGCGCTTTCAATGCTTACCTTCCCTCAACAGCTAGCAGAGCTCTGCTAGCAGCCTGGGGGTTTGAATAATTCTGATTACATATTTGTGTTGAATTAGTGCACAATTCATCATATTAGAAGAAAAATCAAGTTACTGAAAACCTAGTGACATTAACTGTACCAAAACACTTTTGCCACTTACATTTCCAGCTCTTTGCCTTTATCACTACATAACATTACATGAATTTACTAAAACTGTTACCAGCAAGTACAGCAGAACATTGCTAAATCCCATTCATAAACCTAAAACCCATTCTCTTGAGTTTTGTGGATCAAAGCATGTGACAGAGCAAAACATTACAAAATGTCCCCCCACGCCTCAGAGCTATGTATGACACTTCATGGTACAACGCCACAGCGCAGCAGCAGGGCTTCCAGAGGAGATTAAAATAGCAGCAAGTCCTCGTTACAATGCATAATAGATCAGAAGCCACAACTTCAGAGAGCTTATAATATCTGGGACTTTATGAAAGACCAGTTAAGATTCTACTCTAATTACTCACATCAAGGGAAAAATAAAACCAGCATTAATTTAAAAAGCCTCAAAAAGCAGAATTCATATAAAATGAAAAGTATTCAAACATTTTTACAGAAGTTTACTATCATTACTAAATGGCACCAGATTTCAAGTGGTCATGTGCAAGGAAAATCAGTAACATTTCAAATTTTGCCTGAAAGTTATTCTAGAAGCAGAATTCCTATTTTCATACTTGCTGCTAAAAGGAAGAAGTAAATGTGCATTGAGTATCGATGAATCTTTAATCTATACATCTTCTGATTCGATTTGATTCAGTAAGTAGAAAAGATTTCCCATACTCAAGTTATCTACAGATTATGTCTATATATAAAAAAAGGTGTGGATATATACATTTAATACATACACACACGCTCGTACATATATACACAAACTGGTAATATATTGTTTGCCCCCCATACTGGTGACCCGCCAAACCCATGCACCACATCAGAACCTTCTTTAAGGCTATACAGTGTATCGATTATGGGACAAGACACAGGCAGTTGCTCTTGGTCTGGACTATAATTGTTCCACTTATTATATATTGTTACACTTCTATTTGTGCATGACGAAATTTCAATAACTTAGAATTTGTTGTATAAAAACAATTCCAGAAACAGAACTCCCTTATTCAAGGAACATCCCTGCTCCCACCCCCTGACGTTATTTTTGCTAACCAATGACAGAAGTCAACCTAAATCGTATCAGAAACCGCAAACACACTCTTTCGCCTTAATCTAAACTAACATGCATCAAAACATTCTGCAGTGTGGCATCCTTGGATTTTCTCATCTTCTCAATTGCCCTGTGGAGATCCTGCTGCTGCACAGGCCGGATTTCATCTTCATCATGGCTTTAAAAGAAAGAGAGAAAGAAAAAGCAAGCTAATGATTCAGGTGCTATGTAACAGCTAATCAAACAATGAGAAGTAATCACTGAAAATGGCAGCCCTGACATGGATCCAGCGTTACACTGAAAACATGCCCCTGTCCATGCATGTATTACCTCCAAGTATGGGAGACAATTAAGTGGAGTTACACACATGCAAGAGCATTACCAGCATTTAAGCCTGGTAATACAGCGCAATAGTATCACTTGCTGGTTCATGCTACCTCAACCTTGCCACTTCAGGGCAAACACTCTTATTTTCATTGTCAAAATGAATAAAGGTTACTTACTTGGGCTGGATTATTTTTTTTGCTGTATAGTGGCAATCTGTCAAGCAAGAGAGAACCTCCTGCTTTCTGTGAATCGTAACAAAGTTTTTCAAACCTCTCTAAATTTGCAATTCAAACCAGGAAATACAAACTGATAATTGGACAAGAGCATTCATAGCTGCTGCTCAGCTACCAGAACAAGCAGAAAAAAGACACATACATCTCTTCTTCACAGGCAGAATTAACATATTCCCTGACACAGAGGAGTGCTGCATCCCGGCACATTTCTTTCAGATCACTTCCTGAGAAGCCATCAGTCTCTTTAGCAACTTCCAGAAGATCTACATGCCTGTCCACCTGTCAAAAACCAGAAGGTCAGAGCATGAAAACTCTAAAGTCATTTACGTTGTTCCAAGGACAAGAAAGACACCTCCAGTCTTGACTTTGAAAGCTAAAAGAAAATTATTTTGTTGACTTCTGCTCTGAATCGTCCAAGTAGTTCATTTCAGTAAATGAAACTGATGCTTCAACTCATGAAACTCTGCAGCTGATTGATTAACAAAAACAGAACAGGCAATTGAAAGTGAACCAACAGAATGGTATATTCTGTTACTGACAAAGCTCCTGTATTGTTTTGCAAGCCCACTAGATGGCAAAAACTGGATCACAGGAATACCGACCCATTTTCACAAATGCTCACACAAGTTTCCAGTTTCCTGCAATGACACTCCTTTTTTTGGTAAAGGGCTCAATCAGACCATGCACACATCTTTGTATCTATAGACAATGAACACTATCCAATGGGTCTCCTTTCACAGCCCCAGCCCATTTTTTACATTATTTGAAAGAGTACGGTTTGTTTTCATAGGCACATCTTTTGATCAGTAATACAACAAGGCTGGAAAAAGTTAGTCGCATTTATGTTTTCTTGCTGCCACCTTTTAGTGCAGAATAAGAACTTCAAAAGCAGCTGTTCACTATCTCAGCAATTCAGT